GACATTCAAAGTGATTCGACGCAAAATCGCAAAACGAAAACAATAGTCCCTCAGGGACAAAGCAACTTTGGACTAATAATTAAAATCAAAATTCGTTAAAATGTAAGTGTTAAAATAAAAATTTAATGAATTATTAAATTAATCCTAAATGCTTAAATTACCGAATTTCGTCTTAATTTGGGCTCCGGCTGGAATTACGGTTTCACTCAAAGACTAAAAAATAGCTTAACTGGGATACGGCTGATTTTATGTACTGAATGTATAATATAACCTACTGCTTCAAGGGAGGATAGAAACAAAGATCATTATTTTTCTAGCACCACACCAATGAAGAAAGTTAAAACGTTTAAAGCGTCACTAATGAGAATACTATAAACAGTAACACAATATGCAGGGAATTTTAACGGAGGATGTGTACATATAAAAACAGAGAAGGGTTCAATTTTTTAGAACAGATGAGTCAGACACATTGCGTTGACGAAAAGTCACGGCTAAAAAATTTGGCGAGAAAACCGCCTTTTTCGCAGACTTGTTAGGCTTAAAATGCTGGATGTAAGCAAAAAACTTAAATATAGTTAAAACTATGTAAAAGCATCGGCACTTACCATTCAAAAAAAGAAAAAAGCTTTAAAAAATGTTAGCAAAAATGCAAAAAATTAGTTTTTGACAGCAACACAACAGAACAGTAAAAATACAATGGAGCCTTACTACCTTAAACAGTAATTTCTTTCCGAATCTTTTTCATAATGAGAAACTCTCGTTAAGCGAAGCAATTTTTTCCGGGGGAATCATAGTAAAATAGGAATGCGTTTCATTCCGAAAAACATACTCAAACAATATTATTATAATGTACACTATTGTTTATAATATTTTTTTTTTTTAGTCCAAAGGGATTTGAATCCCGAAGGACTATTAGTTTCGTTTTGGCATTTTGCGTCGGACTCATAAATGTCGATTCACTTTTCAAACTGTTGCCACAAAATGTTAAGAGTCCTGCATTATATTTGAAGAAATTAAATAATGAAAAATCTGCATAAATGTATGTATATTTCTCGTATTGTGATAAAACAACGGTACATAGAGTCATCGAATTTTGAATAACGTAATCCTCCAACGAATATGAGCATGTGGAAGACCAAATTTGAAATTTGAAATTTGTTTTATGATCGATTTCCTATTTTTTAAAACTTTGACGAATTTTTGATTAACAAACTCAAGGATTTCAAAGCGAGCAATGGCAACGTTGTGCAGAAAAAACATTTTTATCTCCAGCGCGTGAGTCTTTGTATCGGAAATTCTAAAGATATGCTCGTTTTAAAACTATTTTGCGATATTGCTGTTGCACTGGATCTTATGGTTTAAGTGCGAGGAACATGATATTTAATAAAGAAAGGTAACACACAAAATGTTAAAAAACGCCCCTTTGGACGTAATTTAAAATCTGAAACATTTCAGTTTTTTTTTTTTTTTTGTTTGTTGTTGTTGTTTGTTTGTTTTGTTTTGTTTTGTTTTTGTTCGCTACGCTTCAAAATTTCGTGAAAATGAGACACATTGCCGTTAAACGGAATTATGAGAAGAAACATGACGCAAATTATAAAATCATCCAAGGACAAATGCGAAAAAATAAATTAAATATATTGGAGAAAAAGCTTAAAACAACAACAGTATATATTTAAAGTTTGAAATTTTTACATTAGATTTGGCAGTGAAAGTAAGTTACACTTTAGTCAAATTGGAATCAACATGAAAAAAAATAAATAAATAAAACGATATGCTTATTAAGAGGTAATTAAGGAATGTTTAACTGCTGTTGCAGAAATACCTTTTCCAGATAGAAAAGACACTTCCAAAACTAATCTGTCAAAATTTATGATTGCAAGAAGAACTGAAAACCGAGCTGAAAATTAGGTAAACACACTGAAAATTTTGAATGATGTTCCTTGGTACTTGATGAGAGCTGTGATATCAGTGATACATCACAGCTAGCTCACACTATTTGTAAAAGAAATTGACCCAATTTTTTTAAGATAACTGAAAACGTGAGTTTATCAGTGCCAATGGCAGGAACTACAAGTTGTAAAGTCCTGTACAATGAACTAAAATTGCTGTTTGAGAACTTATCAATTCCATTGAAAAAGACAGACGGCACATCAACAGGTGGAGCACGAGCAGTAAGAGCATATACTGGAATGGTACGGATTTTAAGTTTTACTAACGTTTATTTTATTTTAAAACTTTGCTATCCTCACTTATTTGTTAAGGTTCCTCAAAGTATGATGCAACAGTTTCCCATGTTTTCAGTATCTCTTTTACATCAGTGGAAGTTATAGTTTTCTGATTCTGTTATCTCCTCTTCCGCTGATGATATCTTCACAACTTACTTTTGTGACACAGAATGCTCTTCGGTGGCCAGCTCCTGGCTATGCTCTTCCACTAGTTCATTGATGTTGTTTCTGTCTGCCTATAATCTCGTCGGTGACAGGCATCACAGACACTTTCTCAAAACCTTCGGTTCGATAACGCTATCCTGCCAAAGCTTGAAACAGCTTTATCAGCCCCCCAGAATTTTAATCAAAAAAATATCGCCAAGAATGCCGATAAATGATATGACGTGGCAACCTATACTCTTCGACAAACGCATTCTGATTTCCATAGAGGATGAGATTACTGTTACAGCTAACATAATGGTCAGTTACAAATTCAATTTCAATACAAATTACCGAAATATCCGTTTACTCAAAGTTAAATGCACGTGCTCTAATTCTTATTTTTTAGGCTAGCTTTCTCTTACAATTTGTCTCGCGTTGCACTGAACGGGGAAATACAACATTTTTTAATTTGCCTTCTACTAATTACTTATTAACTATCTTAACACAAAATTCGTAACACTATTTTCGGCAATTGTTTAACGCTCAGATATTGTGTAGAATATTGTTTTGGAGATAAGATTTTTGCATTTTTGCATCGTTCAAGTATCGTATTCAATCGGACTGCTCTAAACCTGCTGTTAGTGATGTCGTAATTAAAATATCAGGAGATGTTAAAGTAACATTTTAGATGGGAGTTTTCAAACAAGAGTAAAAGTTTGGGAAAGCCAGGCATTCCAAACAGATACTTTATGAATGAATTAACAAGAAAATATGAACCTTTTAGAGGATTTTTTGATGGACTGTGGATTATTGAAGGATAAAGTTTGTTGTGAAAAATGAAAGATACCATACAAAGGTATGTTACATTTGGGAAAGTGAAGCAAAGGTGATATTTTCTGGCATTGCTTTTAAAATTACATCCTTTTAACCTTAACCATTTTCATTAATCATTCCTTAATATTTTTTTCTTTTAAAATCGTGTATACTAGTCGTAAATTTATTTCTATTATCTACGATTTCGGGTAAAATCAAGATGGCCGCCACTTTTGAAACATGGAGTTTCATCGAAAATCTGAATAGTAAACATTTTTCAAAACAAAATATTTCACGCGCTTTGGCGCTTAAAAAAAAAAAAAAAAAAAAAAAAAAAAAAAAAAAAAAAAAAAGACAAACTTTGAAGGTGGGTTATACTGAAGCTGTTGCCAAAGCTTTTTTTCATGCAGAAAGAAGTGTTCTCTTGGTGAGCCCTTACCATGCCTTTTCGATCATCTTAGGCAGGCAAAAATGTGATTGAGAGTAAGATTGTTTCCTTCAATTACCTCAAAACAGCGCTTGAAGAGGGCTTTACTGTAGAGTTTTCTAAAATTTGAAAAGATCTGTTGGTCCGTGACTACAGTAGTGTTGTTAAGAGGCAGGAACTGGATTTTGATTAATCTATATTTTGCAAGAAGGTGTTAAAAGAGTCAAAACCTAAATTATACGCTATAAGCAGCATCAATTCAGTGGCAATATTCATTAATTTCAAAGCACAATCAAAGCAAATTCAAGTATCGTATTCAATTTTATAGTAAGGTATTGGGTATAAAAATCAAAATTGCTAATGCAAAAAGCCGTTGTAAAAAACTAACAATAATATGAGAGTATCTCTGAAGTTCCCAGACAAACTAACATTATGCAAAAATGAAATTCGTACAAAATTTACCACATACAGAAGATAAGTGAAAAAAAAAGAAGACAAATAGCAATGTACATACGTATATACATATATAGATATGCAATACATACATATATATATATATATATATATATATATATTATATATATATATATATATATGTAATAATAAAATTCCATAGTCAAGAATACACTTAAAATTCTAATTGTATGTTCTTTTCATTTTTGAAAGTACGGTCTCTTATTTGAAAGTACGTAGAATTAAATCCACAGCCCCGTAGTCAAGTTGTTTTTCCCGCCTTTTCTACACGTACAGTTTTAGAATGTTCTGGAAATATTTCAAGCGAACTGGATTGGCTGACGAGGCTGACGTCATTTCTTGGAAGCTCCGCCTTTCCAGAGGCTATAAAAAGACTCGCAAAAGGAATATCGGGGCTTTTTCTTAAATGTCACGATGCAGTAAACCTTCATACAAAATATTATTAGTAGTTCTTTTTTATTTACTCCGGAGATCAGATTTTTGTAATTGCTATTTTCTTCTGAAATATAATAAATGAATCCTGTTTTTTTAAAACTATCGTCTGATAATTTAAGCTACGACTACATTCATGATTCTTCAACAATCTATTTATTCCTGACAAAAGCTGGTACATCACACACACATATATATACATATATATATGTATATGTATATATATATATATATATATATATATATATATATACATGTTTTTATTATTATTATGTTGCAGATTGATTATGCCATACATCGAACATTTGGACTGGAATCTGGAAGTTTCGTATGAAGGGTCTTAACATATGCTACGTAAACATTCATGAAATCTAAAGTGAAGTACAATTGATATTCCCTAGCACTTTATAACATAATACGTTATGGGTTTATAGATATCATAGATACCAATGTTTTATACAGTTAATGAATTTAAAAATACATACTAATTGTTTTCTAGTCATGTTGGAAATTTTTTTACGCTTGACAGCTAATTCCAATTCTTCCTCTATAATGCGTTCGGCATTTTTTCTAGTGATACCTGCCTGAACTCCTGCGGCCGACTTTGAAACCTTCTCTGTCTTTTTTTCATATTTCTTGATCACAAGTTGGAGTTTACGAGCATTATTCTTTTTTCCCATAATCAAAATTCAAAGGTTTTATTGCATACGTATTTACAAAATTATAAAGAAAAGATTCATAATCAAGCATAACAATAAAAAAAAACATTTAGGATTATCAAAATGAGTTAAAAACATGAGAAAAAGATTCATAATCAAGCATAATAGTAATAAAAAACATCTGGATTCGCAAGATGAGTTAAAAATTACTGCCAGATTAATTTTATTCATTATTGCTCGTGGTTTTTTCCATGTGAGTTGCTACTCAATATTTTGAATGAAGAATTTGCTTAAATTAGAAATACCTCTATTTGGCAGTTGTACAAACATTAAGCATGTTACTCATGCCTGTTATGACCGAAGTAGGAATTTTTGCTCATATTGTGAGTATGGCGTAAGTCTCCTATCATGGCAAAAGAGCTTTCAATCGTTATTTTAAACGCAGCAATCGAAACACGGCAAGGCTACAGTTTTTGACTAAATATTTTCATTTTCCCTGTACAACATTACATATTTATAAGCTTACATATAATTTAATATCCTAAGAAATTAGGCATTCATGATTAGGAAAAATGAAGAAGTTAGAAAGTGTTGTGAGCAATATTGTTTCATGCATCGACTAATCTGAGTTTTTTTAAAACTGCTGAGAAGAAGGTTTATATCAACCAGGTTTTTGAAGTTAATGGTTTTTCATATTTTGATGTTTTAACATTTTGGAATTTTGAGGGAAATTCTTCGAGATGTTAGGCTGTAATCTGAAGTTTCTGAGATTGCAGTTTTATTTATTGTTTTTCCTGTGTTTAAAACTTATAAATATGCACAGACATTAGGATTTTTTTTAAAAGCAGGAGAGATGAAAAATGAGCAGTGCCTTCGCCTTGACTCGAACCGCGGACCTCTCGAATACGCGTCGAGCGTGCGGATCACTACACCACGAAGGCATGCTAAAGAGGCGGGAGAAATACCTTATAAATGTATCCCATTTATCAGGCGTTGTGAATTATTATTTATCATCTTTGGGAGGCTATTGCAGAAATTTATAGTTTGTTACAAATGACTGGATTCTTTTGTTTAAAAAGAAAAAGGATTTAAGTTTCAATACATCACTAGCAGTGATACTTTGAGATTTGTGCTGAATGGCTTATATTTTGACTTTAATTTCATTTTAATATTTTATCACTTTATTTGCTCTCAAATAATCTAGTCATTAGATAATCTAGTCTAGCTCTCAAATAATCTAGTCATTGGCTCTGAACATATTGTTCAGAGCCAATATTCGTCAACATACCTAATTGTCGTTGTCCTTCCTCAGCAAACAATGCTTATATTTTTGTCTATTTTTAGCCCAGAAGGGCTGTTAGTCTCGAAACGACATTTTGCGTCGAACCACTATAAACAGCTGTAATACTTTATAGATTCTTGCCACCAAATATTATCTTCCAAATTTTTAATAACGTAGTCCTCCACCCGAACATGGGCACCGCGAAGCCCGAATCTCTAAATTCGAATTTGTTTTATAATTTATTTCCCATTTTTTAAACTTTAACGAGTTTTTGCTGAAGAAACTGAAGGATTTCAAAACGAGAAGTGGCAACATACTGCACGGTATAAAATATTTTTGTCTCCGGCATGCGAGACTATCTGTCGGAAATTCTAAAGACATGCTGTTTATTAAAGTATTTTTAGACCAAAGGGGCATTTGCCTAAATGCTCTCGAAACGTGTATGTATTTGTAAATAAAAAGAAGTCCCTTTGGGCTTAATATTAAATCCGAAAGTTTCAGTTTGTGCGTGTTCTTGTTATTATTTTCTGTCATAGATTGCAATAAATCATACTTGGCCCTGCACTTCTTACTAGCGCTGTATTTCAGATATTTGCACTGCTGTCGGATTTCGGCGTTGATTTGCTTTAATTTTACTTTTAAACTAGATATAAACATTATGTATGTGTGGTAATTTTTTTAAAGTTTCCTAGCTTATTTGAGCAATTTTAATAGTTAAATTGAATTTTGACTTTATTGAAAATGTACGAAATGTTATTGGCTTGGTACCGCTGTTTTTATCTGTACGATATTCTTCTCAGAAACATAAATTTCTTATGCTTAGGTATTCATATTTTGCGTTAGAAACTTACAATATGTAATAATAATAAATTCGTTATTATGACTTAAGGCTCTTAAGAACTTACTTCTTTCTTAAAGTTTTGGATTCAAGATTACAGTTAATGTTTGTGGCAGTGCACTTCCAATTATATTATGTAGGTCTGAGACTTCAATCTGAATTCCTTGCTTTAATTTCACATATTATTAACAGGATCAGATTTTCGAAACCGGAGGCCTCCTTCTCTTTAATTTTGCAGTAGTACTCACCGCTATTGCAAATTTTAATTCATGTAAAGTACATTTTATATAAAGTCCCTTTGTAAAATATCTTTATAAATTAATATTTTTCATTCAAATGTATTTAAACTGTAGGGTTTATATTTATTTTAACTAACATTTATTTTAAGTTTAAACTATCTTTCCTGTCAAGACTTATTTTCCCTGGGATTGCCAATGCCAGAGTATGTAAATTTTAGTAGAACGCGCAAGGATTCAAATTGTCAGCGGAAGTAATCTGAGTTAAATAGAAGGGAAACGAGTTCGAAAGTGTGCTTTCTTGCTTCACGAGCGTGGAGGTGGCTGGTTAGAAATTGAAGAACCACGCGTTTCGGCCTGTGTGCTTGCCTCGGCAGATTGTTAATCTTTCAACGTAATATTCAGAAGTTTGCTGAATTATCAGCGGTATCTTAGAACGCGGTGAGGTTAGTTACGTTTAGAGAGCCTCGTAGTTAGTCACTTGTTATTATCTCTTTTCAGTTTCTTATTTTTATTTTACCGCCGGGTCGGCGTAGTTTGTGAGCGTCAAGAGCACGCATTTGTAATTTCTAAAGTTGAATAAAAAGGAATTTAAACCCTTCTCAAGACTTTGTCTACTTTCCAGTTCTCAGCAGTCACCACCATTGTTGCGTGCAGGTTGGAAGCGCGCAACATTACAAAACATAAAATCAGTTTTTAGTATACTTTTATTTCCATGGTTTCAGTTTGATATATTTTGCAGAAAATTTATGTTTACATATTTTAAACTAGGATATTATTCTTCTGAAAGACGGAATAAGCAATAGAATTCTAATTAATTTTTAAGAACCTTAATTAAGTTACAGAAACATGATAAATTAATTAAATTAATTGCTAAATTGTTTATCGTTTCAGTAATAAAATACTCTTGCTCTATCTTTTCGAGCAGTTGTCTTTTTCAAATTTATTTTTCTTGCTTGCCTTGCTTGTTGCAAAATAAATATTACCCAAATATTCTTATAATAAAATGATTTGTTCAAAAAGCATTAGTCAGTAACTGATATAATAATTCGAACACTCCAAATTTTTGTTGAAGTTCTTTTACAGACGATGTTCATTGTCATTCTTTTTGTCTTAAAATGAAAATACATCACAAGAATTATCGTCTGCATTAGGAAATCACTATTTGTTTAGCGAAGTATATTAAGATTTCTGTAGCTGAAGTTAGCATGCCAAGACGCTGCAAATTAACGGTAAATTCTGTTAAATAATTTATAAGGTATTTCTCCCACCTTCTTGGCGAGCCTTCGGGGTGTAGTGCTCTGCACGTTGAACCGGTATTTCAGAGGTCCGTGGTTCGATTCCCGGCGAAAGCGATTGCTAATTTTTCAATTCTCCGGCTTTTCCAATTAACCTAATGTCTCTACAAATTCACTTTTTAAAAGGAGGTAAAAGTATTCAGATTATCCAAAAAAATCATTGAAGTAAAGTTTTTCAACAATGTTTGATGATAAAAAAAACAATGGAAACTGTGTGAAACTGTTCAAAAGTTGCTGAAATCCGTATCACATTGCAAGCTAACACTAAGAATCAGAGATATATTTTAGGAAAACAACCAAGATATAAAAATTAGTGTTGCAAAACTTCCAGGTATTCAGGAAAACATTTTGCAATAAAAGGTAATATTTAAATTGAAAGAGTACATAGATACAATCAGCTATTGTCAAGAAGGAAATTCTTTGTCAACAAAAAACAAGAAAAATAATCCTAGGATACGCACAATATATAATAACCAAAGAATTATCATATTGGAACAATGTTATATTTGCAAAATAATCAAAATTTAATATATTTGGGTCCGATTCCGATGGACTAATTATTGTGCGAAGAAAGCTGAATGACAAATTCGGCATGAGAAACCTATTGCCTGAATGTCCCCATCAGCGGAAGAGTGGTAAAAGACATCGATCACTGATAGTTCGGTTCGGGTATCGAGCGCCGGCGATCGGATTGACTGCATTTGGCTTTTTCGTGGTTTTTGTCATGTGTGTAACTTGGATACGAGCCAGATTTCCCTTAAAAAGTCCTTCGCAGAGCATCGCTCCCTTTCCTTGTAGTACCAAATGTCAGAGCTCGTAGTAAATAAATACTATTAAATACGAGGTACAGGCATCATAGTTTTGGGATGTTTCTCTGCCTCTGAGATGGGAAATCTGATGTTTATAGAAAATAATATGGATCAGCATAAATATGAAAACTTCTGCAAGAAGCCTCAGGACGCAAAATGCATTTATGTTTTATGAAGATAACGATTCTAAGCTTGCAATCCTAACTATTCTATTTCGGTTATTACATTACTGTCTTGAAACTCCTCCATGTTCTCCAGACTTATACCCTGTCGAGCATGTATAAAGTTGAGTTGCAGAAGCAAAGTAGAGCATTCTTACAACAAAAGCAAAAACAAAGTGAATTCATGCCAGAGCTCGCAAAAGTGTAATTGTACCTACAGAATATCCAACGGCATACCGAATGCCCCATTATTTTCAAGCTTTTATTAAATATAAACTGTTTGCTTCAAGTGTCAGAATGCTTATATGAGTTTATTTTCAAAATATTTAAATAAATAGATTTTTATTTGAATAAATTATTTTAAAAAAGTCTGATCTGAAAAGCACAAGACTTTCTTGTACGGTCTATTAAATTATACACACATTTCGCTGCACTTCCAGTTAACCATATCCCCTCGAATTTCATTAGATATATTTCTTATTCAATTAATTCAGTTCTTACTTCGCGGTAATA